CCCGCGGCGGCCCCAAGCCCGAGCAGCCGCCCGGGGACGGGGAGGCTGCGCTGCACCGCGAGGAGACCAGCACCTTGGTGGAGAACTGCAGCAGCTCCAACGGAGTCAACCAGGAGAAGCTGGGTAAGCCCCGCGGCGAAGCGCCGCTGCCCCATCCACACGTAGAAAAGCGGGAGGGATCCTTTTCCCGAGTAGGACGGTGGCCGTCCCGGCCCCACCTGCTGCGGGCTCTGTAAGGGTTCTGTGGGGACCATCTGTCCCCACTCCTGGGAAAGAGGAGAGAAACTTTCTTAGCAGCTCTTGGGGCACATGGCTGTCGCACCTCTTCCTCACGCCTTTCCTTCGGATGCTCTAAGCTGCATGTTTGTTTTGCAGACAGGTCAGAATGTAAAAGAATGTAAAATAAAGCAGTTTGCCCTGGGAAAAAAGTTGGTTCTGCAAGGGAAGGCACATGACAAGCGTTTCTTGCCTAGCGACACGAGCTGTCACAAGACGCTCTTCTAATGCCATCCGACCTGGCTGCACATCAAATGGAGCATGGCTCAGTGCCTCGGTCCCGGCAGCTGGATTGCTCCATTGGGTCAGTTACCGACTACCTGGGAAGCTACTCTCCATCTAAACCACACGTACTGAAGTCTGTTCCACTGCCATAACGTTGTGCTTCTTCATAGCATCGGTATTAAATAGGAGGAAGTCTTGGAAATTGCCAGTCAGAACCGTGGAAGCCGGAATGTGGAGCATGCTGGTGTTAGGGCGCACGTGTGGTGTCTTGGAATAATTTTTCTTTAGCTTTCTAAAGCATGTGCCTTCCCACTCACCTGCACACAGACATGTGTTTAAAATCTTCCCTTCCCAGTTGTGGTTAAACGGTTTCATGGATAGGAGTTTTTGGGTTCATTAGAAATGAATCCAGAAGCCTGGATAGTTCATTCGAAGCCTAGTATTGCGTGCTAGTGGAGTGAAAGGTGTGCGTGATTGCCACTTCTCTGTTCCTAGGGAGTCCTTGTCGCTAGAAGGAATGGACTTCAGGCTTTGGAACCAATTGCTCTCCTTCAGTTTCAGGGCGACTTCAGCAGACCATTGTTGTAGCTTAAAGGGAGTTTTAATTGATCGGGGTGAACTTTGCTACAGTTTCAGGTTTTCTGTGGTCAGAGGTTCCAATACACATTTGAGAAACTTAGTTTCTGCTTCTCGTACTCCATGCTGGCTTTGGAAAGACAAGTTTTTCAAGAGAATAGGAAAGTTCCTCTGAATATACTACACCATTTTCTTTACCACATAATAAGCTCTTAATGTTGGTTTAATTCCAACAAAGGTATCCTAATAATTAGTTTCAAACAGTGTAAAATTCTCTTAATCCTTGGTGTCATGCATACCTTGGCTTGGGAGTTATTATTTAATGGTGAAAAGTTGTGCTTTTAGCCAAATTTTGGACTAGTTAGACCCAAAGGTTATAGCATAGATTAAAATGCATATTGTTGTGAGCTAACTTGTCTGGAATGTCTCATGGATGTGCTTCTGGCAACAACAAATAATTTGTTGTGGGTATTTAGATGGTAATAGGGCATAATTTTGGTCACAGTGAAACTTTGAATTAAGTTTGTATTTCCTTCTGTGCCCTATCATGATTATGTAATGGATGGAGCTATTCATAGTTTGCCTATGGAAAAGTTACAGGTAAAGGTGATTTGAGGCTTGGGAGAAATATGTAAGATGTGTAGAGATGGAGACAAGGGTGGTCCTGTGCCTTCATTAGAAATGGCAGAGTGGGGTAGCCCTGATTTCCTAAGGTGGAAGTGAAAAGGAGGCATAGCTTTAGGGGCTAGTCCTGCACAGGCATTTCTGTGCATGCACTTCATGTAAAATAATCAGTTTTTTGGTACATTTTAATGAGCATATTTCAAATGGACATGTTTTAACCATTTGTCATTAAAAAAACGTTCAAGAGCTTTCTGGAACTATGTTTCCTGTTACCCACTCTTACAGATATCTGTACTGACTTTTCAGATCTCCATTATTCCAAATATTTGGTACAAAGTAGAGCGTTCCTCTTTCCTTGCTCTCGTGATGGACCTTGAGGTCTGAACTCTGTAACCTGACATATTTCCCTCTAATGTATTTAATTCTCTGGAAAGTTACAGGTCCCATGCTCCATAACTCTTAGAGGTAGTGTGGAAAATGTAGCTGGAGCTTCAGGGCAGAAGCGTACTGGATGAGGTAATGAGCTGGGGCTTGGAAATCAGCCTTGGTAGGAGCCCACTTCTCCTTCAGAGAGGAGAGGACTTGTGCCACTCTGCAATTGCAGAATTGCAGCCACGAGGGCAGAACAGCAGAAGCTGCACGTCTTATTAACGTGTTAATGTTTACAAAGCTCTGAACTCAATAACCTCAGAAGCAGTAAGAGCTCCTTGTTTCAGTTTGTCAGGCCAGGGGCCAGTGCCTGTTACTTGCTTTAGCACTGGAAGTATCCAAAGAAGAACTTCTGAAGAAAAACAGGAGGTTAATCATGTACAGTTCTCTTCAATTTGAACATTGGAAGATGATTTTCTTTCAGAAAGGATTCTTCTTTGTAATGATGTGTGTCTTTATTCCCATGCAGCTGGTTAGCTGTGTTGAAGTGGTAAATATTGCAGATAATTGTGACAAAGGAGGGCACTAAAATGTTAATTTATGCACAGTCCATGACATATGACTATGGACATCAGAAGCTGTATGTCACTCAACAGCTATATGTCACTTGCATTAAAATTATAATTTTACTATTTATTTATTTTTAAATATAAATAACAGTAGTTCATATCCTCAGAGAATTTCAATGATAACTTACGCTGCCCCATAGTCAATTCTGCTGGTAAATTCTGCCTTTCAGACCCAAAATTTCAGTTGATTGTATCTCATGGTCATGCTAACTCCATGCACCATCTTGGAAGAACTACCTTTTCCTTGAATTCACAAGCCTCTTGAAAAGGCTTTGGTAAACCTGAAAAGAAGCTTCTACACAGCTGTATTCATACAGCTTTTGAACTTCTAGCTTCAAATTTTAATATGAAATAGCAATGCAGTCCTATGGTTAAAGAGAGATTTTAGCAATCAGTCAGTTTATCAGTGTTTCAAAAGAAGGAGCAAATGTAACTAACTGAGCTACTTAAACCAACTTTTTTACATATCCTCTGCAATTCTGCATTTAGTTTTAAGAAACAAGCAGTGAATAGGCAAATGGTTAAACAGCTGGAAAAGGTGAAAGTAGTTTGTCAGTAGAGTAAGTTAGAATGTAGTCATCTTCATTCTTTGCCACTGCACATCTTTAATCTCCATGTAGAAACAGTTGCCTTCTAGATTATTTAGATCAGTTATTGGGAAAACTGAATTTTCCTCAGCCAGAGAAGATGTTGCTAAGTGTGTGGGTTGAGTTGCTTTTTGGTTTCATACTCAGCGTGCCATGATTACCGTTGGATATGATTTTATAAGGAACTACAGTAACATGTATTATAGCTCATGCCTAATCGTTTCATTGTTTTTTGTCAGGTGATATGAAAGATGACATGAGTGACGTACAAGTAAATGGGAATGCTGGCCATTATCCTATGGATGAAGAGGAAGTTGAAGAAGACTCTAGTGCACAGCTTAACATGCGTGGAGTTTTTCTGCATGTTTTTGGAGATGCCTTAGGTTCAGTCATTGTGGTAGTAAATGCCTTACTCTTTTATGGCTTGTGGAATCCGTGCCCTGAAGATGGGCCTTGCTTTAATCCATGCGTCAATAATCATTGCATGGAAAATGCTACTTTATCCCAAGCACTTGGCAGAGCTAACAAATCTGAGCAAGAGAGCATTACGGTGGCTGGTCCTTGCTGGTTGTTATATTTAGATCCTGTCCTCTGTTTGATTATGGTCTGTATACTCCTTTACACAACTTACCCGTTACTTAGGGAGTCAGCCCTCATCCTTCTACAGACTGTTCCCAAACAAATCGATGTCCATTCTTTGAACTCAAAGTTACGTACCCTCGAAGGAGTCGAAGCAATCCACGAGTTACACATTTGGCAGCTAGCAGGCAGTAGGATCATTGGCACTGCTCACATCAAGTGTCCTGACCCTTCCACATACATGATGGTGGCCAAGCGCATCAAAGAGATCTTTCATGATGAAGGGATTCATGCAACTACCATTCAGCCTGAGTTTGCCAGCGTTGGCTCTGAGTCAGGGAGAGGGAAATGTGAGTTGCCTTGCAGGACTCAATGTGCTTTGAAGCAGTGTTGCGGAACAGGAGAAGACAGTACTGCAAAGAAGACAGAAAAATCCTCGTCACTTAGTATTTCTTGTTCAGAAGTTGTCATTGAATTTCCGAAAACGAGGAGGACTAAGTCGGAGAGCATCCCTTCAGTGAAGCTGGAGGCGAACACCGATCAAAATGAGCAGTTTGAGTCATCTTTGTAACTCCCTGAAGGGTGCTACCTGAGTTGTGGAGACTTTGTCAACAGCTGTGTTGCAAGAGGAAGAGACAGACGTTTGAGATGCAATTTTGCCAAACAGTGTAATTGCTGAAGTCCTTGTTCTTGTCATATTGCTAAATATAGAATGCTTGTTTTAAAGAATATAATGTCACTGTCATGATAAAATGTGTTTGTGTTGACTTTGTTTGACTGAGACAGACAGAAAGTGCACCCATGCTGTAACACTTCAGAAAACCAGTTTCAGCATGTCAGCAGAGACACTTTTTGCTGTGCTTTAGATTAAGATACTTTTTTTCCAGTGAAAAGGTATTTGAGGGATAAGCAAGTAGGAACTCAATTTGTGTTACAGATTTCTTGGACCTACTTTTTCCTTTAATATTTGATTTGTAGATACCTTAATATATTGTTTATTTAGAAGCCCTAAGAAAACCAAAGTTCATAGAACATTTTAAAAAATATAACTACTAAAAACTGGAAACCACTTTGCAGTTTCACATATTTTTCTTAAAGCTATGTAATAATAATAAAAAATGTGAAGGCTTTTCTAGTGAATTTATTGCACAGCATATTTTAAAGACAACATCATGTGATTGCCAGAAATTGTCCCCTCTTCTTCTGGTAGGGTAGCAAGGTAAGTAAGGTAGCAAGGTAATTGAAAACAACAGATGTGAAAGGGTTTATTTTCTGTCAGAATGGCAGTTCAGGCTACTCTGTACTGCTCTGTGATCAAGACATGAGACTGGTCGATAAGGTAACACAGACTTTTACATTTTATGGATTTTCTGCTGTTTTCCCTTACTTCCAAGTTCTGTCTGGTGATGAAAGTCTTTGAGGTTTAAAGAACCCTTGACTCAACAGTGCTATGAACAAATACTTAGCTGATGCTGAGTTTACTAAGATAAAATAATTTGTTCTGTCAGTAAGCACTCTGTTGGGGAAGGTCTGCCAAGCACCGACAGTGTAACTCCTGCTTTCAAGCACAGACAGCAGCTCCCCAACAGGTAATGTAAAGGTGCATTTTCCTTCTAGCTGAGTGTGTCTGTAAACACTTGCAGTGATTTCAGTCCTGGTCCCCCACTGTGTCCTCAGAAGCCCTCCACTGACTTTTGAGGAAGTGGTGCAGGGAGTAAGATTTCATTCACTGTATTTCACTCTTTGAGATGTTTATGTATCACATAATTTCACTTACTCAGTATCTGAATCGATGGTTTAAAATCTTGACTCAGTTAATTGACAACTGGCTCTAAAGAAGCTGTTACAGTGTGCTGCCAATTTACACTTTAGGAAAGGAGAAACTGCTCTGTGGACTCTGAATTTGGCAGAGATGAGATGAGAGTTGAAAGATAAAACACCAGAAATCTAATCTAAAACCCTGGCCCTTTTGATCCACTCTCACGTTATGAACGGGAACTAATGTCTTGTGATTAACGGATTGCTCTAGTGTGCAAAACTGGAAAACAACTCAGATCTTCCATTCTTTGCTCTATGACTCTGGACATGATAAACACTTTGCCTCAGTTTCCCTGGCTTCAAATGGGGATAATACCTACCTCACAGGGGTGTTGTGAGGCTTAAATATTGTGTGAAGAGCTCTGAGATATGTCACTGGAAGGCACTGGAAAGAGGATGAGCTACTAGATTACCTGGCATTTACTACTTCTACAAATGTATTGCAATACCTAGGCACAACCAGAGGGAACTGAGGATAGTTTTGGCCTTATGAAATTCTTTGATGCTGTGGTTTTCAGGTTTTTAACAGTATTTAAATATAGATTTTTTTAAAAAGAATGTTTTGTTAGTGAAGGGAATGTAGCTTTGCCTCCAGATACAGAACACTTCCCTAGTTTGCATTTCTAATTTGTGTCTTGCATCATAATTACTCCTAAATAGTACAAAAAACAGTCCTGCTGCTCATCAGACTCGGATTGGCCCAAGTCACGTCAGTGGTTCTTACCCAAGCTCTCAGCAAAGCATTGCAGTCAACTCTCGATTATCCATGGGTGGATCACCAGTGGTGTGCATTAACTGTGCAGTCTGTGGAGCCAAGACCAGCCCCCTGTCTCATGCCATGCTCTGGCCAAGTGCTGTGTGCCAAAGCACGGGCAAGGTGGAGGTGCTGGCTCCGCTTCCAGGGAGCCCCATCACAGGCTGCGTAGTCGGGGCAGCACAGCACTGCCCAGGGGTTTTGCCTCTTGGCTGCTCAGACGCGTTCGCGGGAAGCTGTGGGCTGTGGATGGGTGGGATCGGCTTTGTGCTGGCTTGGGATGTTGGTGTTTTGCAGCAACCAGCATTACTCACCTTTTTCTGTGTATATGCTTGTTGTATAGTCTCATAAACTAACTTAAATGTGTTAATATAGTATTTATATATGCTTTTGTTTTTCTGAATTATCTTAACTCTTTTTTCTGTTACCTGTATATGATCTAGAGTTGACTGTTAAATGAGATCTTGTATGAGACTGCGTTTGCCGAGTATGCTACCACAGCTATTATACTACAGAGTATTAACCAAGTAAATTTTGAAATGAATGAAGTACTATTTTTTTTTTTAAATGTATATCCTTGCTTTCTATGGTAAACTTTGACTAATTATTTTCATCACTAGTTTAAAATTCATCTTAATTGTTAGTATGAATTGTTGAGGTTCTGCCATATATCACTAACGTACCATAGAACTACTGTTCTTTAGTTTACTTTAAAAAATACCAACAAATCAAACCATGGTAGCACTGAGAGGTCTCATTGACTTCTCTCCTGTTGCTCTTATAAAAAGAGGACAACTAGTAAGTCATAACACTTACCATCATTGGTTAATAGTCTCAGTAAATGCATCTGAGTAGAGGGAGTTGTAGTCACTAATTCCATTTTGAACTATTTAATTTTTTTTTATTTTTTTTTTTGTGCCAGAAGTCATATTTTTCTATTTCTGTGTCCATTGCAGGCAATGGCTAGCTAAAAAGACAAAAAGCTCTCCCCCTCATTATTTTAAGTATCAGGACAGGATGCAGAGGTGACAGTGATGATGGTGATGATGATGATGGGGGCAGAAGGGGGAGTTGCATGGCCTCTCTGTCATGTGCCCTGTTGCACGTGCAGCACCAGCTGGTGTTTCCAGGGCCCTTTAGTCTCCTTAGCCCTTGATGGTAAACTCCCTGAAAGCATAGAGTGAGGTCAAGGGGGTGGCTGTGCAGCAGCAGGAACACAATTTCTCCATTCTGGCTGTAGGAGACCTGACTGTAGCCTGCTAGCTTGTGAAATAGCTCAATTTTTTTTTTTTTTTTTTAAGTTGACCTGTCTGGAGTTACACAGACTTGATTTGTTCTGAAGATCACAGTTTAAGAATACTGAGAGCATTCAAAAGCACTGCACAGTCTCTCTTTATTTTACTTTATTTTTTTTTCCACAAAGCATGAAACTAGTGAATCTCATGTAAGTGAACACTGCAGTGGTAGGGAGCTAATTGTGTTGTGTATCACATTCCTGAATTTTTAAAATAAAAACAATTATGGAACACTGATTTTAAGGAAAAACAATTTTGTACTTCAGCATATAGATTGTTTAGGCTTCTGATTAAATGTGTCAGAGATGTACCAAACATCACTGGATGAAATATTTTACCCTTACTATGTCTCATCCAGGAACATGCTATTTTAGAATCACTTCCTAGATTATATCTGCACCTAAGGTGCAGTGCAGAACTAATTCAGACACTCAGTGGGCTAGCCACAGTACCATTAGTCTTCCTTTTTAGCAGAGTAAATTGTTTTTGTGGAACCCCGAATAATTGTAGCTCAATTGCTTTCAACACTCAGTGTGGGCTTTGCTAATATCTGTAGTTGCCACATCGCAGTGTGTGGTATGGACATACACAGAGTTATGTAAAAGAACCAGCCCCAACTTGTGACTCCCCAAAAGTCATGGCAAGGGCTTACTCCTGAAAATTTCTGTATTCTTAAATAGTTTCATCAGGCTGACGAGTACTTACTTGCATGCCAGGAATTACTTGTGGGACTGAGTCCAAAGCTTCTGCCAATGTGGCCTGGCTTTTAAAGAAAAAAAGTACCTAGATTTTATGGATGAATTAAAATCAGGACTTCTATGGTGTCTCTAAATTTGCTGCAGAAATACTGTCAGTTTGGTATAATTCCAGGATTTATTCCCTTTCCCCATTCTCTAAAAAGAAAGGGAGAAAAGCCCACTGAGTGTCCTAAGACTTGTTAACAAGTTTAGCAAAACTGACATTGCTGTTAGCTTCTGAAATCAGGCCATCTGAATTTATTAAAAACTGCCTGGTGGAGTTTGGGGAGAAGGGATAAAGATTCTTGCCATTTTCCTTCCCCTGCCCCCTGCTTTGACTGCACTTTCTAATCTCTTCAGCTATGGAGAGACCAGGGGAGATGGAGGGGGTGAATTTTGTAACTAGATGTTCTGAGTTCCATGTGGAGGGAATGGGAAATACTGCTAACTATATTTAAAAGCATATAAATATGCTCTGACTATTTTAGTTCCATAGCATAGCATCAGTTACACCCTTTTTAGGTATGCATTTAAGTGGTTCAGGTCCACAGTATCTTTGGCTTTTCCTTTCTCTGCTAGACAGAAAAAGGTGGATGCTCCATTTGCCTGAGCTAAAGCCAGAGTTGACAATTTTCCAAATCAAACGTAGCTTTGCTGATAACAGAAGGTCTGATTATTCCCTGTGACCTTTGCTTTGTGTGGTTAGCTGCCTGTGAGGTACAGCACCATGTTTTAGCAGGCTCACATTTATATTTTTTGCACTCACCGTGTTGTCTAACTAGTTGAAAAGCAAAACCACAAAGCTGAAAAATATCTTTCATCTGTATGTCTCCAAAAAGCACATGGGATTAATTTGGCTTCTTTTTTTTTCATGTCCTGGATCCTGTTTCTGAACAATGTTAAAATATAATTGGCATAGCTTGTTCATTGATGATATTTCTTTTTGCCTTCTTTTAAAATAAAGAATAATGTTCTTTTTTGTTCTTTTTGTTTGTTTGTTTTTAAGTATTAAAATGCTGAGAAAATAAATGGAGCTCTTGACTATCAAATACATTTAGTTGGGATTTCTTTCTCAGATCAGCTCCCAGGAAGGAATCTAACTAGTAGAAATGCATATTCACCACCTCCCAGAACATCTAAAAGAGATAAAAAGACCACAAATAGAGGAGGTGGAGATTAGTAAGTGGGTTTTAAAGTCCTGGCCTCCAACTGTCTGGGTTCTAGGTCCAATTAAAAGAAGAGTTGCTCAGTTCTAGTATCATGAAGAGTTAATTATGCAAAAGGTATTTTTTTATCTCAAAGGAAAACAGCTTTTGAAGAGAATAAAATCTTCTTGACCTGTTAATTTGCTGTGGTTAAATATCTGACATAAGGGTCAATAAGGTAGGCTTCCTAAGAGGACTCTGTACTGTTCTTTCAATGTCTTTGGAAGAAAGCTGCTTTAGAGCAGAAGATGCTTTGGTGCTTTTCAGCTTCATTTGTTTCAATTCAGAAACACTGCAGTTTGCCCAGGTTTTTTTGGGAGGAAAGGACTGACTGCAGTTGCCAGCACTAGTACTGAGAAGGGCAGGATGGTGAGCAGTACCTGTCTTGAACTGTTAATAAGCTTGCAGTGATGAATTCATTTTGGAGCCCTTCAGCAGCTTCTTTTTCTGCTTCAAGAGGGAAAAGTGATTCCACATTATTAGTTATATGTGCAGAAGGGTATGTCTGGTTGTGCTGTAAGGACTGCATGTGAGCTTGGATGTTGCCATTTTCCAAAGCTGCTTCTACCTCTTCATGAAAAGATGAGATTTGAACTTACTATGAACATCCTTTATGAGACATGCTGGTGTGGGAATTTTAAATTAGCAGGAAGGGAAGCTTCAGGTCTATAGCTTACTTTTGCTAAATGTACCTTCCCCCAAGTCATTCCTAGACCTCCTACCGCAGATAGCTGCCTGACCACAAGGACCAGAGCCAGCTCCCAGAACAACTCCTTGCTGCTTTTCCATTGGAGGAGCTGATGCCACAGGAGAAGGGTAGGATGGGAGTGTCTGACTCCACGAAGACAAGCACTTTCAGCAGGCACATTCTCAGGCTGATCTGTGCTAGTATCCCAAGCCTGGCATGAAAGTCTTGCAAAGTATTGCTGAGACCAAATGGCAATCCCCACCCCCCTTCACCCAAGCTCTGTTTCTAGTTACAGCATTGGTTGGCTTCCCAGCGTTTCCCTCCTGCACCAGCTCCTGCAGCTAAGAATAGCCTTGGTGATGCTGCGGAACAGGATGTGCAACCTGCTGGGCTTCCTGCATTTGTGCTCGTGTTGCTGGCCTGGGCTGAAGCCTGTCCTTACCTTTGCCTGGACTCACTGGGTGAATTTGTTAGATTTAATTACTTGGATAGGGTTTGCCCACACTCGTTCCAGTTGCATTCTGTGCTATAGGCATTTTGCAGTGTAGGTAAGACCTCAGCTGAGGGAAATATTTACTTGCTGCCAGTCTTCTGTGCTTCAGAGTGTGTCTGCTGAGTGTAAGTGGATGCTGCTGGTCTGCTGCAGACCTGGATTCAAGCTTCGCTGCTTGGTTTGATGTTACCATGTGATCCCTGTAGCTGAGGATGCAGCGAGTACAGCACAGGCAGTCTGCAGGTAACTGGGTCAGTGTTGCTTACCTGAGCTAGGTGCTCATACTCTAGTTAAGGAGTGAACAACACTCCCACAGGTAAATGCTGCACATGTTGCTATACCCTCAAGATTTTTTCATTAGGCAGCACAGACTGGAGACTCAGTCCATTGTTTTATCCTGTGCTGCCTTGGGCTCTCCCCCAGTCAGTTTCAGACGAGTACATTTTTCCTTGAGAAAAGGATTATGTGAATTAGCAAAATTTGGGTGATGATTTTCACTTGTATTTTTGTGGGCATGTGGGAAGGTTCTGACCCAAATGCATGGGGTTGATTCTGCATGCTTCCAGCTGAGTGTTAGGAGGGGTTGAACTTAAGTACTGGGTAAAATCTAGGCTCAAGTATTTTGTCTTAAATATCCATACTGGCACAGGTCTTAGACTTGTGTGTTATGCTAGTTTGAAGTGATTTTCACTTCACATTGCTGTTCAAAAAGAAAAAAGGAAAGAACTTTGTTTAATTATCACAAGAATTATTACCCAGCCTTAGTAGGTGTGTTTCCAGTTCGTTGAAAACCTCCCTGCATGCAGCAGCATCTCAGTAGAGACACTGACGAGTTAGTCGGCAAGTTATTGCTAAAAAGGAGGTGTTTGGTACATATGCTTGAGCTTGGAAGTGGAATGACACTTGGCACCATAATGTCCCAGTTATCTTTTTCTGAAGGAGTAGGAAAACTGCAGAACTAAATATTGAGTCAAGCTGCGTGGGCAGAGCTCCTGTGTCAGAGCTGCGCTGATGTCACAGCCGCAGCGTGATATCACGGGCCGTATGTGAAAAGCCCAGAGCATCACCCAAGCTCTTATGTGTTATTGAAAACCTCAGTAACTTTTACTGAAAACTTGCATGGGTTTTTTTTCCCCTTTTTCCAATCCCTTAATGCTGAGAAGTTTAGCCACGCAGCTAAGGTGAGTGTGTAGCTCAACTGCCTTGCAACACTGTGTGCTGCTCTGAAAAAAAAGGTGCCATTGAACCCGGAGTATGAAGGGCACTGCACTTGATGTGCCCTTTCTAAAAGTATCTACAAAAAACAAGGTAATGTCAAAACAATGTTTCTCTGCTGAAAGCTGGTGAGATACTCAAGTCTACAGCTTCTGCAGAAGCTTTTTTTCTGTGATGCTCTTATTTGCTGTCCTCTTCCCAGAGAGTTATCTGAGTTACTATTACTGCATGTGCATGAAATAATTCATGTGTCATAGAAGAACAGTGGGGCAGACCGAAGTTCTTTAGATGCATTCTTTAAGAACAGAAAATCTGATCTACAAGATTTTTGCCAAAACTCCTTTTATCTCGGATAGTATCAAAAAGGCAGGTCACTTCTCCCGTGGTGGTCACTCTGGTTAGTAGAAAGCAAATGAAATTATGGCATCAATGGAGAAAAATGAGCAATGGAATGTGTTTGGGTTTTGATTTTGGAATGGTTATATTTTCCCCCTCCTGCAGCTGGTTTAATGAGGGTAATGGTTTTCTTTAGTTTTCCTTTATAGCTCTGCAGTGCTTAACAGCTTGTTACTGAGGGACCTACACACTTGGGAGTCCATGGAAATCCAAGTTAGTGAAAGACGTGGAAAAACATGTTTAAACAGATCACAGCTGAAGCTGAGAACTTAATCTTTCTGTGACAGAAGGTAGCCAGCACAGCCTCAGCTGTTCCATCAGGAAAGGTTAGTGTGAAGTACCAAGCTTAACTCACTGCTGGAGAAATGGGATAGAAAATCAGGTAACAGCAGTTTAGTTTCACACCTGAGCATATGAGAAGTAGCCTCTCTCTGCAAGAGACTGCAGCTTGGCAAAAATAATGTCTTTGCATGGGGGTTTGTTGCTGGCAGTGGCAAAAGTCCTGATAGAGCAGTATTTCTCCAAATGACTTCAGGTAAAAGTCAAATATGGAGAGTTCTTATGCAACATGAGCGTTCCCCTTTCGAAACAGTGGTTTGGAGAGAAAAAGTCATTGGTCTGGGTCTAGGACAAAAGTTAAACAAGATAAACAAGGATGGACTGCTGCCATCTTCCCCTTCCCCTTTATCTCTAAACCTTAACCTTAAACTGCAAGTTTGAGGTTAATGCAGTGCAGTGTGTCTGCAACTGCTGAAACCAGCTATGTTTTAATAGATCTTATTTATTTTGATGATGATGAAGGTCTGAAAGTTCCTCTAGGTAACAGAAATATTTCTATGCTTTTAAAGTTGAAATGAAAATATTTTCTAATACTACTAAGAATATTTTCAAATTAAATAATTAATTCTCCTGATAAAACATTTAATGAATTATATACTTATTTTATGTCCTTGTTTCTAATCCACAGAACATAGAAATAAGCTTTATTTTAAAAAACCTGTCCAATTTTTGCTAACATATGATTTTTCTTTAACATCAGCTAAAAAGAGAGGAAGTGTCAGTTCATAAAATGTGGAGCTACCACAGAATTTCGGTAGCAGGTCACTCACCACTAACAAGTACTTCAGCACTTCGCAGGGCTCTGAGTAGCCATAGAATGTGCTGTGGACAGGGTCCACAGCAATAAATTAGGGTGGAAGAATGTTTTCTTGAACTTTACAAAGAGGAAGCTGCTTTAGTGATACATAAAAAAATGTATCTGTTCCTAAGCTGGATTTTGGCTTGTACTATACATAGTACATATACATACTATACATTCTGAAAAACTAATCCTTCAAGATACTGGTGATGTGATGGTGACTTTATTCCATAAATACCAGATTAAATCCTGTCCTATGCACTGAATTATCCAGCCAGTTAAAGTATGGTAGGGAAGGAGTGGAGAGATGATAGATGCAATACTGGACTGTACATCATTCAGCTACTCCTTCCAGTACATGTGAACCTTTTTTTAAATAATGTGAGAGTTTGTTGGGGATTTTACTCAAATGTGACCATCCTACTTCTCAAACAACTTGGTTCTGACAGGAACTTTGTTCTGACAGATTCTTTTTGAAGGGGGATGTCTTAGCTGAATGGGCTTCAGGGTACCTTCCTGTGACAATGACTTTAGGGGCCACATGCTGGCTGGCTGAGCCAGTAACATTGTGCTTTCCTGTGCTCAGTAGGAGTGCAAGACTCTGAACCAAGTTGAGGTGGATGGAGGATATCAAAGACCTGGAAATGTGGAGGAATGTGCTGAAGATAAGGCTACATTAATTCTCAGAACTTTAAGCCTTTGTTAATACAAGTTGAGCTCTTGGGTTTTGATGGGATTTTTTTTGTTGTTTTGTTTTGTTTTGTTTTGTTTTGTTTTTCAGTTTGTTTGGTTAATTTTTTTTTTTTACCATCTGCATCTGTTACTAACCCCAAACAGAGCCACTCATATGTAGAGGAGGAAAACTTAATATTCATTGAAATTTCACTGAGGTACTTCTTGGTAAGTCCAAGATGTTTACTAAGTAAATTGGATAGAATTTACTAGTGATTGTTACAGTGATAGAATAGATAGTGATTGTTACAGGACCCCTTAGAGCATATTTTCTATCTCACTTTTCATCTCTGATAAGCAGATTATGAATATAAGAGTCTGCCTTGTATTGGGAACTCTGACAGGTGAAATGTGCTCTCTGTTCATAGCACATGCAGGGCCCTGACCTCTCTCATGCTTTTCATCCCTCAAACTCTGCTAGATAATGCTTAAAGAAATATGAAGTGCTTGCTGAGACTCGAAAATGTGACCATGGTAGAAGCTGTGGTTCTCTGAGGGGTCTCATTTATCTCCATATGGACTTTGGTTTTCCTGAAAAGCTAAAATTTCAGTTTAAGGATGACCTTGGAAACAGAGGTGTGGGGTGGCTTTTAAAATTCTCAAGAAGCATCCAGCAGGACTACAGCTGTGCTAAGGAAAGAAGCCATCTTCTCTTGGATTGGACTCCAAACTGACCCAACCAGAGGGATGGAGAACAACAGTTTTCCTTGGAGAGGTCTGGATTGCTTCTGGCTGATCCTGGCTGTGCTGCACTGATTTTAGGGCCACAGCACATGGGAGAAGTGAGGACATGATTGCCATCAGCTGGGATGTGCAGGCCAGATAATCTGTGCTCTGAGCATCTCCTGTCCAGAGCACCCATCTACCAACAAATGTGTGCACAGCGCTGCCTCTCAACGTTTGAAACTTCTCCTGTCTCTAAAGGAAAGGCCTCTGCATCCACAGCATGTGTGGCATAGGTGTAAAGGGTGCAATGGCCTGGTGGGAATGGCAGCACCAGTGGTGTAACAACTCTGATACTGGGCTGCCACTCCAGTTGTTCTGGGATTAACGCTGTTACTGATCTTAGAACTGTTGAATGAGTCTTGAAACTCCATTTATGCATAAATGACTGCTTAAACCTGGTTATTTCTTGTTTCCTTGTGCATGTGGCTTTTCTAGGCTGTCTGCTTTTTCCACAGTAACTTCCGAGCCCTGCTTGGGCAGGGGTTGTCACCTCCCAGCATAGAGGTCATAGATCATAAAGGTAGGTATCCTCCAGGCAGGGCTGCTGGATGCTTTCTAATCTGGCAATTAGGAAAAACACCCACCACGAGAGAGTTTGCAGCGCTTCACTAAATAATTAATAGATGTTAAAGTCTCCAGGACTTGGGAATCACACGGATGCTGACTTTCCACTAAATGCTGTATAGTGTTTAGGTAAAAGGTTAAAATTATACCTACTCTAATAGAAATCTATACCTTAACATGGAGGCAGAAAGACAGACAGAATTAGTAGCACTGCTTCCTCCTTTAGCAGGAGTCAAGCTGAGATAGAGAGTTTATAAATATTTTCTTTTTTTGTTTTTTCCTTTCACATGACTTCTTGTTAGAAGGCTGAAAACAGACTTCTGTTAACTTTTGGTTATTAAAATCCAAAGAGCAGTCTGAGAAAGAAATCGGGGCCTGACAACCCAGCAGGGTAATGGGAAACTTAATAAATATCCTGTTGTTATAACATCTGTCATTTTAGCATTAACAAGCTCATGACTTTAGCTGTTGTATGATCCCAGCTCCACTCTGCAGATTAAGGGAAAGGCTGTTAGACCTTTAAAGTAAAAGACTTCTGCCCCACCAGCACGGTAGTTTAACCTCTTGTATCCTGAAGAAGTTTAGCTAAAACAGGTTGAAAGTGATATAGAGACGGACTCCTGTGGAGGTCAATTAGGAGGCATACAGAAGCAGTTGGACTCAAGGATTTTCCTAATTTTGTTCTCTTTGATGTCCAGAAGAACCAGAAAAAAAACCCCACTCCAACCAAGCCCAAAAATACGTGGTGGGGTTTTGTGGTTTTTTGGGTTTTTAATTTGGTCCCACTTTGATTTTCTTAAAAGTTATAGAGAGATTTATTTGGTCACACTTTGATTTTCTTAAAGGTTATAGAGAGGAGATTTAAGAGACTGTCTTATTAAATGAATACACAGCACTGCAGCAAAACTGTGGTAGATGTCCATTGCTTGTAAGGCAGTATGTATATGTCAACCACAAACAGAGTGGTATTTTGGTTCATTTAAAACAGGCCTATGTAAGAACCAGAGCAACTGCACAAATACTGAACTCCATACAGCATCTCTCACCACCTGTTTCTGAGATTTCTTTAGCCTGTTGACTCATGTTTTTCTTTTCTGGAAGCTGAAGAAAATGCATGCCATGCTGAAAATGCTCCTGGTTTGGTTTTAATCTTGGACGAAGTTCATCCAGAACAGTTCTATGGTGATAATGTTTCTGACTTCTTTATTTTTTGCTTTTATGTGTCAGGTGGTGAAATGAGAGCCCTCCACAATCTGAATGCAGCCAGTGCTTCCCTGGTACACAGCTTCTCACGCAGGCAGAAGCAGAGGGGCTGAGAGAAAGAAGTTGTCTTGGTGCTCATGAGGAGTTCGTAGCATGTTGGGTGTGAGCAAGAGCTGTGGAGTTCAGCAGAGAGTAAATCCATCTTGTCTCAGATTGCTCACTTGTCCTCCCTCATTGTCCTCTCTCAGGGCAAGGAAGCACCACATCCAAGCCACAGCCACCTCCAGGACTGCTGTCAGTCTACAAGTCTACAGAAGTGTCACAAAAAGTATCATGGATCTCATTGTCTCACGGAACATAAGGACAAACCACCATGTTCTCATGCTGCTTAGATGGTTTCAGAAAGCCCAGAGGTGTCAGTAGCACTCCCAAGTGCTTCCAAGCCTCTGTGTACTTTAGACAAGTGATACTGCATAGAATGTAGGATACTTAAAGCAGATTTGTTTGCTTTCAACAGGATTGTCTTGAAAATGCTACTATTCTGTTTGAGGAAAAAATCTTATGTCTACAGCAGAGATGACATCTCCTGTGTCATGACTGGAAAGCCCAGACATGATCTGGGGCACTGGGGCACCCAAAGCCCTTGCTCAGGTCTTTCGTAAGTAGATGGTTTACTTTCTGTACTTTCAATTTATATTCCTTTAAGTGATGCTAAGGCAAGAAGAGAAATCCATACCCTCCCCCCAAATTTTGAAAACACAAGCACAAACATTTCAGTAGCTGGTGGTGGTTTCACTGCAGAGACAGACTTGAGCGATGATGACTTTATGTTTCGTAAAACACTTTAACTTCCTGAAATAGTTATTTTAAAAAACCTGACTGCAAACCACTTTCCATTTTGAAATACTTTCGTAAATGAAATTACACGTTCAAATTCTCTCAGTGTTTTGAGAACAAAACATTTGGACCCCAGTAGCTTTTGCTAAAGGCTTACAGAGCTGCTAACATCTAGAAAGTCTGTTATTTGCATGGGGCTAATTAGAGCCTGTAAAAGAATAAGAGAAATTAAACCCAACAATGCAGTTCAACTGTAGTGCTAAGATCTTGCAATTAAACTTTGCTGTTGGATTATGCATATTAGCACATGAATTACTCTCTAAGTGATAAATGTTGAACCAAATAATTATCTAAAGCTTTTGGGCAGGAATAATCAATAAGGTTAGGCTGAGAAAAGACAGTACTTTTTTTTTTAAAAAAAAGAAACAGTAGTACGGCTTGATGAGAACACAACAAATTGTTCCCTGTGAATGAACTGACAGGTTAGCCCACATTATTATTTTTTTTTAATATGGGTGGCACCTTATTTTTTTCCCTTATAAAACCGGGAAAAAAAAGTTAGAATAATGAAAACCTTGAGGCACGCCTACCAGACCTCCAGAGGCGGGTGGCAAAATCCCACCGAGGTGCAAATTTACGTGCTTCTCACTCCAGCAAAGAGGGTGGTGGGGAGAGCAGAGGCCGGCTGCGTGTCGGGGAGCGCGGCTGTGCCGGGATGCTGCTGTCCCTTTGATACCAGCACAGCCTTGCTGACATTTCAGTCTCTCACTCTGCCGCGCCTGGGCTTGAGGGAGCGGCTGCCTCTGGAGGGGCTGCGCCACCGCAATCCTCATGCCTGGCCTCCGTCTTTGTGCACGGCCACGGTCACCTTGCACGGCTGCAGTCCTTGTGCCCAGCTGTGCTGGGATGGCCATGGACAGGTGCGAGGGGACAGATTACAGAGGCCTGGCCGCCGGTGCAGGGAGACAGCCCCACACTTATCTCACGAAGCGGCCCGGCACCACCCTGCCTCTCCCCGGGGCCTGAGGCAGCGCGGGCATCTCTGCGCTGGGGCCGGAGCGGGCCCTGGCCAGCAGCAGTGCGGCGGCTTGCCAGCCCTCACGGCAATTCCCTGAGCCCTCCACCGCTGCTCACTCGCCCACGAGGTTTTATCCCAGCCCCCACGCCAGTGAATGGCCAGGCCACTGCTCGCAGGATCAGCCCCACTTCCTCGTGTCGGCCAGCCCCTCTCTGAAGCCGCTGCCCCAGAAGGCGCCGGTGCCGCTGTGCCTGAGCACAGGCCACAGAGGAAGCCGGCGGGAGAGGTTTGTGGCAAATGGAGCGACAGCGAGGCTTGCCACAGGGCCACTGCAGCACCCCAGTGAGGAGAGCGATTGCCCTCACGCTGTTAAAATGCAATTTGCCGAAAGGAAACCGCTGCGGCCGCACGCACCCAACTGCAGCGCCCAAGCAGCGCCGGAATCGCCGCCACCACAAGAAAGCAGGCAGCCCCCATTAGCAGGGAAATCAATCTTTTACAAGAGCCACAATGGACCATTAGCTTTTAACCAGGTTTTAGGGGTGGGGAACAGCCTTCCTGTTGGGCAAACCCTAAGAAGGAAATAACCGGCTCCAAACATCCAGGGGCGGTGGGGAGTTGAGAGCCGAGGTAGAGCTCTGAACTCCGCAGCTTGAGCTCGCTGCTACAATGCAGCCAGCTCCTGCGCGTGGATGAGCCGGTGGCGGAGCTGCAGGGAGCTGCCCTTATTTATTTGTTCCTACGGCACAGGCAGAGACAAGGGCCCTGTTTTATGTTTCCCTGCAGGAAGGTGATAAAGTGCCCGGGAGCTGCTGGAAACCATTCTCCAATAAATTCAAAGGGGAAAGTCATTTTTTTGTGCCTTGGAAGCTTGTGAGAGCTGAGGGATGCTGGAAGGCAGTGAAAACTGAGGCAGCACATCACACACTAGTGTGGCAGGAAGCCACCGGAGCAAATTTTCTGGTTTGTTTTTATGCTTGTTCTTTTTTTTCCTCTCAATGATTTTTACTCTGCCTGTGGCTAAGCAATCAATATCTCTTTGCCAACGATAAATATTACAGGCTTTTAAATGATGATGTATTCCAGGGTGAAACAAATTAGGTGTGTTATTGCTGCTTATACTCAAACTAATTTTGTGGGTTCAAATGGAAATTCAGAGAGAGATTCCTGAACCAGGCTCGCTGGTGGCAGCAGATCTGAGCAGATCTGGCTTCAGCTGTCAGCTTTGTTGCTGATCTCTCTTCTTTCACTGAGACGAGCAGAAATCCAGGAGAGCTGTGTGAGTAGCTCCGCAGGCTGAATCCATCAGGCAGATGCATGCAGCTAAGCATGAGGCTGCCTGGAGCACTGCAGCGCCCTTGTTTCCCTCGGCAGGAGGCTGCAGAGCTGGATTGGTGTGTCAAGCACGGCCCAGGCTGAGCAGCACCAGCCCAAATGCTGACCCTGGGGTGCCACACCAGCGGGGACTTCAGCTCTGACCTCTTGGTGCAGTGGCTGGTCAAAGAGTGTTCCTCAAGGACGTGTGACTAAAAGCAATCCTTCCCTTCTGATACCCATGCCAGGGAGCCAGGTGGGAACCTGTCTGGAGCCCTGAAAAGTCTGTCAAGGCTGTGACAGCAACCAATCCTATTCCCATGTGTCCAAGGGAGAGCAAACCAGCTTAATTAGGCACCAAGGAAGCAATCTGATTTGGTTCTGGAGTTGGATGATTTGTGCAAATAAATTGTTACAGGACATATTATTCTCTGTGGTTTCCTACACTGTTTCGCTGAGGTGGTGGAGGAACTGTGTAGCCACTCCTGCTGTGCATCAGTGCTGCTTGAACCCTTTAGGAGAGAAACTTTATAGGACAGTTCAGGAAACGTCTGACTCCATTTCCCACCTACTGCTACAAGAGGTCTTGCTCTGAAGGATTAAGATGACTGTAGAAGATGGAGGGCAAAGACACTGGGCATTTTTGCTAGGAGACAATATTGCATAATAAAACACAGCCAGCTGGAGCAGGTGGACGCCTCATGTCAGTGACCATCAGCCCCACTCTCTTATCCTCCAGAAGTGTCACCCCCAGGTCCTAGCTCACTGTTTTTTAGGGGGATGAGGACCCATGTAAAAGGATGTCTCTCTTCCCTCCTTTTTTCTTCAGGGGGAGGATGCTGCTGTTTTAATAGTGACAACAGTTCACTACTTGTGCATTAATCCTCATCAGCTTGTATGTGCATACAGGCAAAGCATGATGGGCTTGACATTTCTCATCAAGAAAATGAAATCCGCCCAGTTTCAGGTCACCCTGCTCCGGTTTTGTACCAAATCTTTTCAAATCAACAGCCATTTCATCTCAATAAGCTAATAATAACCCTTGCAAAGCCTGTGAATCAGCAAAAGGCTCTCCACAGCTGCAACTGTCAGCAAAACAGGAGCTAACACTGTGGAGGGGCGGGTGTTGAAGAAGTTTGAGCCCTGGCCCATGGTAAGCCCATGGCAGCATTTGCTGAGCCAGACCCATCTCAGGGCTCTGCCTCTGTCCTAGCCAACCTCCACCATGCTTGGCTGTCATTGTGAGAGGAGTGAGCAACACAAATAACTACCAAAGTCTTTATTTATCCTTTCTCTCTAAGGATAGTCCTCTGGATGCCAGAAGAAGCCAGATAAATGCTTTGTGTTTTCTACTACAATAGGAACCAGCTCTGCAAAAAAATCTGCATTGGTGTCTGGTGGGAATATCTGGAGCGTTGAAGCTTGGCCTGCTGCTTCTCATTGAAATCAGCAGGAATTTTGTCGCTTGCTTCTCTGGCCCAACTCTGCTCCTGTGGCTGGCTAAGGAAAAGCAGGTTCTGCTGCAAGGGTATTTGCAGTGGGAGTTGCCAGGTAGTGGGCAGGCTGCCTGCTGGGAGACCTTTTGACCTGAATCCTCCTGAGTCGTGAGGGCTGATGTTCTTTCCGCCCCCCCTTGTTTTGCCCCAGGGAGCCTGCAGCTTTGCTGCTGACCAGCAGGCAGTGTACGAAGCTGGGAGCCCAGGACTGAGGATGAACTGGAGAGATAAGCTATCTGTGAACACAAATGCCTGTCTAGCCTTGCACACCCTGTAGGAAAAGGAGGAATTTCTGAAAAGGAGGACCCGCCAAGAGAGGGACTGGGCAGTGCATACCTTGCTTCTCACTCTCTTTCCATCAGCACACACTGCTGAATCCTTCTGGAGGCAGGCTACAGAAGGACAGACCTATCAGACCCAGGATGGCAGTCCCTAGTGACAAAACTACAGCGATTTAAGAGCTTATGAACATAGGATGCTTCAGACACTTTGCAAATAGAAGATCCTGCCTAGCAGCTAAGCCCTGAGACCTTTTAATGACCTTTTAATTCAAAGGCTCTTGTGGCTTTCTTCTTGTGACTCCTGGGTCTAGGTACCCTGACATTCCTCCACATGGCACGAGATTTGAAGCACATACTCCACAAGCCAGTCTGCTAGTCAAGAAACAGTGGTTTGGGCAATTTTTCAATCCTCCAGCACCATTTGGAGCGTAACTGTCACGGGCTGTAGTGGAACTCCCAGGCAGGCTAGGTGGCTGAGCCAGCAAAGGTGTTGCAAGGTGCTGCTGAGTGCCACTGCTGCAGCAAACGCTGTGAGCAGCCAGTGACTCAGGTCTCTGCTGTATTTCCTAATGAAAGTCTGAAGGATTTGGTGTCTTTATTAATCACTACAGCTCAGCTTCCACTGTTAGTATCTTCCTGTGGTTTTGTGTATCTTGGCATGGTTAGATAGCCAAACAATTTTTGGAGTGCTCAGATGACAAAAAAAACCACTGGTAGCAGACACCCAGGAGGCAGCACCATGGGCTGAGTTAAAAATCCAGGGCTGCTCTTTGTTACACTTGTGGCCAAAATCTCAGGACCACCATCACCATGTGCTGCTCCCTATTTCAGAATGAGCCTGACATGGATGAAAAATAAGAGCTGGAATGGCTGAGCAAACAGGTCTGCAGCTGAGGAGAGTCTGTTTCCACTATGCTCTATGGAGTTTCTGTGAGTCCAGCAGCTCACAGGATGCGTTAATAAGCATGCTGCAGCATTCCTGCTAATTTGGTGTCCTACACTCAGCACCTCCCTGAGAGCCTGTACAGAATGAGATGCATCTACTGCAGCCAAAGGGAGCTGCATCCTCTTACTTGCTGCATTGCTCCTTTGGTGGTACCTTTTGTGTCTGAGAGGTTTAGAAGCACCTGAGCACCTGGAATTCAACACTATGACCCCACCATATGTGCTACTCGGTGAGCTCAGTCTTGACGGCTCCCTCTTTGGCCTGGGAGCTTTTAGGTCAGGTATGTTGCTCTGCCCATGGCCAGTGCACCTGCCTCAAGGTGTACTGCCTACTACTTTTATTTGCACAAGTTTTCAAAAGTGTCAGAGTGGTCAGACCTGATGGATTGCCTGCCTGAAGTAGGTGGATGATCAGCTGAAATGTTTGTTTGAGCATATAGATTCCTACTTGTGTTGTGATATTTTAATTGCTGAGTTCAGCCTGCAAACTGAATTGGTGAAGTCTCTTTGGTATTCTCTGTTCCTGAAGTGAAACCCCTTCGTATACTTTCCTATTTAAAAGAAAACACAATTTTATGTTTGAGTAAGTAGAACATAAAGCGCTATCCAGAAGGTCAATTTAATGTGAGATTGCTTTATGCTGATTGGCAAGAATACACTTCTGTTTGTTATTCTTAGGTTTTGATGGTATTCTCTTACTGTGAGAAATGAGCACTGCCAAGAAGAGATGAAGACATGGCTTAGCTATGAAGGGGAAGTACAAAAGACTGACAGTCCAGGAAAAATACACAGCAAAAAATTCACATGGGACAGATTCTCCTGAGCTGTGTGACTGCTGAGGCACCCAAAGACTTGTGGTTTCCTTAAAAGGCACCCACACAGACTTCATTTCCCTGCAGTGCACGCTCATGACCCCATGGTATTTCTGGCAAGTGCCCTTCACGTGCCTGCCAGCAGCTGTGTGTGAAACACAACGATCAGATGTGCTGCCAGTCTGGGGAGTCTGAAGTCTTCCTGAGGCAGAAGCCTGAAGATACTGAGGTAGTGGTCAGGAAGCATCATCCCAGAAAACCATCTTAAACAGAGCTAGATGCAGAACTGGCATTTCTCTCCTCTCCCAAAGTCTCCAGATGCAATTGCAGGTGCTGGTGGAGTAGCTGGCATCGCTTGGCACGTGTTGCAGAGGGGGAATGGGAAGGGGATGTGGTGCTGCCTCTGTTGGGGTAACGGCAGCAGAGCAGGTATCTCCTCTCCTCCTGCTGCTGCCAGAGAGGCGGGTAATTACCATATCCATTTTAGAAATGAAGAAACTAATGCAGAGTGCATAGGCGTAAGGGGAGAGTTTTAGGAATATGTGGGTGTCTGAGATGCAAATGCTTTGGGAAACACCACATTGCGCCTGATTTGCATTTGTAGGCAGCTAAATACTTGTACTGATCTGACCCAGAGGGCTGTGTGTGAGGGTGCAGGGAACAGGGTGAGCTCCCCACACTTCCTCACTGGGGATCCCTCAATCCTTGTGGTGCCTGGTCCAGTCACTCTCCTCATTTGGATCTGCTCCAGGGATAAGTGTTCCTGGATTCCCCCAAATGGAAGCAATGATGGGATGGCATGAACTGGGATGATGTTTCCCTCTGCACTCTGCAAGGGTAGCCCATATTGGCAGCCCTTTTGATTTTGCCAGCTTCTCCTCCATGCTAGCTTTTCTCTTTCAGGTAGAAATCTATTTCAGAACTCAGCAGATTTATTTTGCTTCAGGACCTATTGATTTTTTCTGCTTCGATATTGCTCCTACCCAGACTGAATACTGTTTATCACCTGCCAGGTGCTGTTGATGCTCCTGGGCAGGAGGCAGAGCCAATGCTGCTGCTTGTCCCTCCCAGTCCTTGCAGGACTTTGGACACTCCTTTTTATGATGATGATGATGTAAGTGTTGAAAACTCACCTCAGTTGAACTGCAAAATAGTGAGGGAGTTTACTTGAGTGGAAAACCAGATTATAATTATCGGTAAAAGATTCAGCAACTGTGTTTGCAATCATTTCCTCCTGAAGACCTTGGTACACCTGAGAAGAGAAACTTCCTGGTTTCTCTGCAAAGAGTGTCGTGATGATTTATCATTAATGAACCAGCCTGTTCCTAACCTTCATTTTCCAGTTTTCAGTATCCCTGTGGTGTTATTTTCTCTAAAGAAACAGCTAGAGTCCACCTCAGATTTTTTTGGGAACTTTGAGGGTCAGTTTCATCAAACATCAAAAGCACTTTTTCAGCCGCAGCCAAAGGCTTTTCCTTTCTTTCTGACCTAAATTGGTGGGTTTCCTAACTTTGTCATGGCTCTGAAGTCCACCTGCAGGCATCTGCTCAATTGTTTTTTATGGAGCCTGGTCCCACCATTTTTCCAGAGGGCACCAAAACAAGAAGTACTGCCCTTTTGAATGAAGTGCATTCCCACTTTCTTTTTCCATATGAGCAAATAAACAAAGGTCTTCACTTCCAGTGCTGGAACTTAGATTCATCTTCATGTGTCAGGAAATGCAAGGTTGCAAAATACTGTTGTTTTTTTTCAAGAGTCTTTACCATAACAGTAATAAAAATATTTTAATTTACTTCCTTGAGCTGTTTGACCTTAGTACAATATTTGAATGAGAGTATAATTTCACCCATAGTCACTTGCATGAGTCCAAAGTGCAAGTCCTTTTTCTGCAAGTAATATTAAGATGATTTAAAACCAAACCAAGCCAGAACACAACAGAAAGAAAACCTGAAAAAATAATTCCATTTTCCTTTTTGGGAAAAAACCGCAACATATGAAACAAGTGAGTGAGCAATATGATGGAATAGCACAGCCTCTGTGTGGGATAGACCTCTGCTGTGGGTGTGTAGGTACCTTACAGAAGAAGCCAGAGCAGCCAGCACTGCTGTGAACACTGGATGGCACACACTGCCATGTGGAGGCCTCACACCAGCACAGCGGGGAAAGGACCCCTTGCTGAAACTGGAAGTCATCAAAGAGGCTGATTGTTAACTGGGCAGCAGGATCAGTGGAGGAGCTCTTGAGAAATGTGTGCTGCAACCTCTAATATTTCATCTCCTATCAGGTTTGAGTCAGTGTTTTTCATGACACAGTTAATGTTGAGAGGCAAGGTGGTTTCAGTAATAATGTGTTTTGTTCCACTGACCTAATATTACAAGGATGCATAAACACTTACTCCCCAGGGCACTGGCTCTTTTGAAGACTACTTGTCCTGCAGGAACCAGTGTTTGTGCTACATGGGTTTAGTGTCACCATGGGAGTGTCCAGGAGAGCTGGCATTTGCCTCTTCGTTCAGTGTGGCTGGAATACAGAGGTGGCTGGGCAGGATGAACTGTACCCTGGGAACAAATGAGTGAGCTTTGGCTCAGTGGCCATCACGTCTCTTGGGTCCCCTATGACGGGTTAGAGGCCACGGCAGGGCTGGAGGTGGCACAGTTTGGAATGGAAGCCCTGGCCATGCAGAGGTGGGGCTTCAAGTGCACATCTCTTCCTGGATGTTTTTTTTACCCCTCTCATATTTAGTTGTATTTTTCTCTTGCATTTCATATCCATAATTTTTTCTTGCCTTTTTCTTTTTTTGTTTTTAGTCTTGTTTGGAGCCTCTCTGCATGGTCAGAGGGGCAGAGAGGCATCTTCCCTCTTCGTCACCTAGGACATGGATTGCATCACACTTTTCCTTCACTTCCTGAGTGAACTTAATGCTAAGCAATAGTGGGTGAAAACCCACACTGTGAGAGCAGTTATGTATAGCTGAGTATTGAATTGTCATAAATTTACTTGCTTTCAGGGCTGTCATTCAGAAGCTCATCACAGAGCAGTGAATACATTCCTTGTGGGAGCTCAGCATCAGAAGAAGTTGCAAGCCCCTTCTCAGGAGGAAAGACGAGCACAAGCTGAAACACCCAAGCTGCAATCAGTGGCAGAACACAACTCCAGGAAGGATCATGCCTCATCAGCGGGTGTTGGCTTTCTAAGGCACCTCAAGTACCCTGCCAGGGTAATTAGTAGTGATCTGAATCAGACATCACTATGTACATGTCTGTCTACAATGGTGACATGTTTCCTCATACATCTGCAGCCAACAGCATTTTTGAGGTGGATACACTCCCTAGCCCGCAGTAATCCCCTGCCTTGTGCTTGTTGTCACTCTGCACAGGAGTGTTTGTCCCAGATAGATCCTTGCATTGTCTCCATGTTGCTCTGGGATTCCAGGCTAGCTGGGAGCATCAATGAAAACTGAAGGACAAAATTGGAGGGAAATGTGTTTAGTTTAGCTGGGATAAGTCAGTCATTGCATCTGCCAAAGAAAAGAGCAGATTTTGATTCCATTGTGTTTATATTTATTTTGAAGGAAAAAAAATGGGCAGTTTATTTGTTGCAATGTCCTTATTTCACTCTCAGCTCCAGTAGCTAGGTAAACACTTCCCAGTAATTTACTATAAGAAAAAGCTGGAAAATCAGGGAAAGAGTGTTGTTCTTTCACCAGAAACATTAATAACATGCACTATGGACCCTGCCTTTTCTCTGACTACTTTATAAAAAGCTGTGACATAGGTGTAGCAACAGTTGACCAGGTCCAGACACTGCCTCTCACTCAGAGCGGCCAGGCTGCAGTCATGTCTCAGTTAATTTTATTTTATTAAATTGTTTTTTAATTATTTTCTTTCATAAAAGGCTTGTAATATGTGATGGAAAGAGCAGGGAAATTCACCACTTTTGTACATCTTTCCTGCAGGAAGGGGCCACAAGGGGTGTGGGTGCCCCTTGCACCTTTGCAGTGCCAGCCAAGAACAGTCCACAGGACTCCTGAGGCTCATAGGAGGATGTACATAAGAAAGGCAGAGGCCTACCAGCCTGGCAGGAGACAGAGGGAAAGGGTAAGAGCTGTTCTTTCCTAGAAGGGAGCTGTGGAGACTCAGGTCCCATGGAGCCAGCAGCTGGGGCAGGATGAGAGGTGTGGGTGAGAAGGAGGGAGATGCAGACCGGCAGTACCTGTTTGTGCTACTTCACTGTGACTGCTCGTGCAACTCTTCAGACCTACCTTAGTGTTTCATTTTTTAATCATCCAAGATCTCAAGTAAACTTGCTTGTCTCACCCTAGCTAGAACCAGCCCTTCCATCTATGCCCTCTGTGCCAGCCATACTCTGTCTCCTTCCCCAGAAAGCTGCTTTCCCTCTGCCAGCCTGTGATGGCTGTCCACACCAGAAGTGCACACTGATTCCATCAGGCTGCCTTTCCCCACTTCAGCCACATCTAATAAAATGTGGGCACATAGTGGTGTGATTTAGTTCAGCCTCCAATATTGTCACACTTCCAGGATTACTGTGGCTTTCATGGTGCTCCCAGGAGGTGCATGAACACATGCAAGGTGTCCTGAAGAACTTCACAAGCTTTGGACTGTTGAATGGTCTGCTAAAAAGTGGAATATGACAATCCCACCCTTGGGTGGGATGGGATCACATTGTCTGTTGCTTGTTCCCAGCAAGGATTGTGTTTGCCTGCAGTGCTGGTAGACCAGATTTATTCATGTACCTTCTGTCTTGTGTTTCATTTGCTTTGGCAACTCCCTAGCTCCTGGTCATGGTGGGACACCACTGTGTGCCCAGCCACCTGCATGACTGCCAGGACAGTGACAGCCCACCTTATCTCTTGAGGGTAGCTCAGATTACAGCCAAAGAAGAAATATTGTCTGCTCCATTTGGTCTCCAGTTCAACACTTACATGTGACATGTTACTTGCTAGGTACTCCCACATGACTCATGACCACAAAAATAATAAAAAACTAATGGGTAAGCTGGCCTACAAGGTGTTACTTGTTTGCTGTTATTGTCCAGGGCTGCTGACTGCTGCTGAAGGATTTCTACTGTGTAATTATAGCCCAGCCTTAGCAGCTCTGCCAGTCTGAACTCTGCTGCTGAGTGGTATATGTCCTTATGGCTTCTATGAACGTGACTCCAGAAGATAATTACATGCACAGGAAGAAGACAGGATAGAAACCTGATTGGGAGGATAAGGAGAACTTGCTTTGTGCCATCACAGGATTACATGCAAGAGTGTAGTATTGTCTGAAAGGAGAACAGTCAAGATATCATCGGCTACTCCTGTTACTACACCCCAGAATTCATCAAGGGATGAAGACAAAGAGACAGTTAATTATTCATGACATATGCATAAAAGGGGAAGAAACACACAGAGGGCTATTTCATCATTTTTCAGCCTACCAAGGCTTATTGGTTCATATTAAGCAGCTCTTCTTCTTTAAAATCTAATTTTGAAACTGGACAACACAGTCTTCCCCTCTGGCATTGGTCAGGCCAGTGGTAAACTCAGATTTCTGTTCTTCTTGCTTAATTGGTACCTGTGAACCTAGGGTTTATTTTGCCTGCTTGCTCCAGCTTGTCTCGGGCCTTAATTGCGAGGTGTCTGGGGAAGGGCTTGTGCTGTATAACGGGCCAGTGTTCTTCAAATGGCTCAGCTTTTCCCCTTGGAAGGAGCTGATTCATCGACATGGAAATGTTTTGCACAATGGTCTTCACTTCGCTTAAATTTCCAGTTAAAAGAATGACTCATTTTGATATGGCCAAAAGTGTATTCTCTTGTCTCATGTTGCAGTGTTGTGCACCAGACCTGCCTGGTGAGCTGAGGGCTGTGCTTCCCCAGAGAAAGTGCAGGACTGTGCCTGAGCATGGGGTGGTGGCACAGTCCTGTGTTGTATCTGATGCTGCATGAAATCCCTCCACCTTCAGCAAGGCTGGGAGCTGATGAGAACAGTGCTGAGCTTCAGGCCAGTCTCCTGCTCTTCTCAGAGATCCACCTCAATCATGGCCTTCTCCTGAGAGATGTCATGTGGCCCTCAGATGCCCTTTCCATCATGTGAGCAGGCATGTGCCTGCATGTTTTCCTCTGCTCAGGAACAGCTCTCACTTTGCCTTAGAGCATTTTGCAGTAAGACTGAAGTAACTCCATCCTAGTGAAGGAGTGCCTGACTGTAAATTCCTTTCTCTGTCAATTACTTGTTCTGCTCCTGACTGTACCCCCTTTTTTATACCCATTTCCCAAGGGCACTTTCATTGCTGCATAACAACAAGTTTTAATGAGCACATTGTTGTTGGGATTCACAGAACAGGCTTTGTGCTGCTTCTGAAGAAAGTACACTTGGTAGAGATTATTTTTCTGCAACAGTTTAATGGAGAGGAAACTGAATGTGTCCCCATAGTGGTTTTTTTTCAGGATGAAACTGTCAGAAGGGTGGGAGCCAAAGCCAGCATGGCCCCTGCACCTGTGAGTGCTTCAGAAGGAGCTGGTGGCTGAGCTAGTCTTCACCAGGAGAGACAGTGGCTTGCAAATGATGCTCCCCTGTCCTGGTTCCAAAGAGGTCAGCTTGGCTCTTCTCCCTGAGCACCCAGGAAGGCTGTTGGTATGCCACCATTGGTTTTCTCCTTGTGCAGTGCGCTTTGTTTTCTAAGCAGTTCCATCCACAGCCTCATGGATGGACAAGGTAAGCAAGGTGCTGGAACTGAACATGGTGACAGACTGAGAGCATGAGGGGGCCAACCACATTATAAAGTTAGCCATAGTTGTCAAAGTCTGCTGGTTTTCAGAAAGGAACCAGCTCATTCCCATCTATATGTAGCTACTGAGAAATCAGCTAGGGGAGAAAAAGTGAATTTTGAGTATGATGGACACCACAACATGGAACTGGGTCAGGGATTCTCTCCTCCAGGTCAGTCTGAGCAGAAATTACTGGGAACTGGACATTGCTGGAGCTGTGATGGTTTTTCGTTCTTGTTTCTAGTGTGCATGTTGGACACATCAATTAGGAGTCCAAGTAAAAACAATCAAAGGTGAAGGAGTAAGAGACACAACATCCTCCTCATCCTTGGTGGCATCCTGTTTATCTGACACCTGGAAAAATGGCTAAAGCCTCCTGGATACCTGATGAGCAAAATTGACAAAATTGGAACAGAATTCTTTATGTTTAAGGGACCCAAAAGTCAGAAACACGTCACCTCCTATTTCAGGAAGTCATGGGTTGAGCAGCTGAACTTATATGAACTTTCCCTCAGCAGGGGATTTTGTCAGGAAAGTGTACTATTTAAAATTTGGTGAGTTACCAGTAATTTGCTTCAAAAGGATCTATCCTGCCCTTAATTAATATCCTTAGATCTAAGACTTTTATTTTGTTTAGGTGAACAAATGTTGTGAAATGCCTTTGTGAATCACATCTAATCAAGTCGGTATTCCCCAGCTGGAGCCTGGAAACCTGCCCAGAGTGCCAGGCAGAGGAGAACGGTGTGATAGGCAAGGCGTGATGACAGCCTGCCAGAGGAGAGCTGAAAAAGGTGGAGCAGTGAACTGTCCCTAGCAGACAGTGATATTTCCGTGCTTTTCTTCTCTAAAACGCTTGAACTCCAAGACACACTGGGTGTGTGAGTTTACTCCAGTGAGCCTGAGGCAGTTTCATTTATGCAACTGTTTGCTCAGCAGATGAGAGGCCCAGTTCTCTCTGATCTCGGTGATATTCAGAGAACAGACTCTTCTGCAGCATTCTCCAGATCCAGATGGGCATCTGCCCGATGCCAGGTGTGGATGTGTTTTGCATTTTTCCAAGCCATATTTTTGAGGGGGCTTGGAAATGAGTATCTGAGGCCCCTGAAGACACTGAAGAAACTGCTAGTATTCAAGGGACAGGGTGAGCAGAAAGAAGAGACATGTTCCTGAGTTTTTATTCTGGACGTGTGGGCATGGGTCACCTCCAGGGCTGGGGTGATACATTTCCGTGGGTCCTGGGCAACACATGCCAAGGGATCTTGGACACAGAGATACATAGCCCTGTCAGCCTCAGCACAGTAGCATCTAGAAGGTAGACTATTGTCCAGGGTCTCAGTGCATTTCCCAAGCCTTCCCCAAGTGATCTGCCACATCACAGATCTGGCAGTGACAATTCTGGTTGCCCCCCCAAAGCCAAAGACTTGCCCTTTAACCAGGTCACATGAGAAAACCAGGGACATGATCTCTGCAGAAGTTTGTGGTGGAGCTCCACAGCAGCATCATGTGCCAGCAGCGTCTGCAAGCACGGGTGTGCTCCTCAGAGACACTGGCAGTCCTGGTATGTGGCTCCCACAGGGTAGGCTGGCCACACAGAGTGAGCCGCAGCTGCAAATTGGCATCTCAGAATGTGCTGATGTCTCTTCTGTACTGATCTGCACAGGTGAAGTGACCAGCTTGACTTGACATATGCTAATCTGAGAGGCAGCGAGGAGTCCTCTTGTCCTGCCATGTCTCCTCATGGGAGTCTGTGGTGCTGGCAGTACAGCGCCGTCCAGCACCAGCACTTACCACATGCTTATTAATGGGCAAATTAGGAGGAATGTACCTGGCACGTCTGCTGTGCTGGGCATCACGGGGCTGGCAGCCTTCAGGAAGTGCTGTGGTTCACAAAGTGGAATGAGAGGACAGCATCAGCTCACCCCTCCTTCTCAGCATACTAACAAGCAGATGTGTGCCCTGGCTGAGCACTGTGCACACACGCTGTGTTGAGTGCAGGGATCTCAGGTCTTTTAGGGAAGGCAGGGAGCCAGAGCCCTACAGCACACAAGCCTGGAGGATTACCACAGCCCTTCAGTATCGAATCCAAAGATCCCGATGTGACCCAGAGCAGAATGTAGGACAGCCTTGCATCAGGCCCAAAGTACACACCTGCCTTTTAAAAACAAGCAGCAAGTTTGATTACAGCACGGCGTGGCAGCCTGAGCGGAGAGACAAACAACGTGACTGGTACTTATTATCGGGACTGTAATTATGCCCGGCGGTCCCATGCTGCCTGCACCCCAGCGTGCGAAGCGTTGTACCAGACATGATAAAAGATCATCCCTGGCCTGAAGAAATCAGAATCTCATTTAAAACATCCCGGGAGGGCGAGCCAAATGGGGATGGTGTAAGGGACTAAGGTTGGGAAAAAGCGGGGTGAGTTTGATTACAGATAAGGCTGCTGCTTCCTGGAGGCTGTCGCGGATCCGGGAGGGTTTGGCGGCACCTCTGCCGCGCCGCCAGTGGGAATGGGCATGCGGGGCGTGGAGGCAAGACACGACAGCGTTATAGGCTTTGAGTTGAGGAGGAGGGAGGTGGGCTGCAGCTATATATATACATTCAAATATGTGCATGTGCGTGTGTGCATATATCCAGAAGGGAGGAGAAGGCTCATCCCCCACTGGAGGATGGGGGCACGCAGGGCCCTGTGCCAGGAGCCGAGACCACGGCCCCCACCGCCGTGTCCCCGCTGTGCCGGGGCCCGGGGCCGGTGC